AGTTGATCGAAAAATGAGTCAACTATCGGTCCTCCGGCAGGAATCGAATTATCGAAACTACGCTTTTGCGATGCCGGTGCAATGCTCTTGCCACTACTACAGAGATAGCTGACAAGAGGAAGCGTGGTTAATGTGCATACTATGGTAATGCCGGGAATTCCCGGCCTTGACTCATTTCAAATAAACCCGTTAAATAGTTCTCACTTCATACTTGAACGAAAATGGTAATATCAAACAATTATCCAACAACAGTGTTATAAATTTATAAAATGTTTTGAGTTTAGAAAATTCGTGCTTCAATTGCTTTTTTCTTAACTTCGCTAAAGCTTTTGCAATTAAGGTAAATGGGTATTATCGATCACGTCCATTTTCAAAACAAGGTCGAGTAATTATCAAGTATAGCTAAAAGCTTGTATTTCACGTCACGTTCAAAGTCTGCAATTTAAATTCAATACGCAGCAATTAGCCATTTCCCAATCGAGCAGGGTACTGGGTCTAGTCGCGAACCGTTTGGTTTGGAGGGACAAAATGGATACAGTTACAATTTCTTTTCCCTCCAAAACAGGCCATAGATGCTTTGCGGTTCGCGACTAGACCCAGTACCCTGCTCGATTGGGAAATAGCCAGCCAATTTAGCCAGCCTAGTTCCTAGGCTTCATTGCGCGGGATTTAAAAATCCATGACGTCACCAAATGCCTAGCACAAAATGTTTTCTAATCTAATGTTAACGGCTCCTAACCGCCCATTTAATGTTGCCTTTTATTAGGAATTGTTGTAAGAAAGTAAATGTTTGCAATTTACAACACGAACCGTTATAAAGGAAGCAAGAATTAATAATTGAAATGATTGAATAATTTAATAATTAGGTAGTAGATAGCATTGACGGCGAATGACATTGCAACGTTTGTATGAATATTTCAAAGCATATGGTAGCATAATTAAGCCAGGCATAATTAGGCCAGGCTGCTTGCAGGGACAAAATCAGGCACAATCTTCGAAAGGCTCAACATTTTGTGCTAGGCCTCTCAGCGTGTGCTGTCCCTGCACATAATTATCATAAGCGCGCGCTTACAAGGCCTGGGACTAGGCAGGGAAATAGCTAATAAAGCGCTACCAGTTCAATGAGCGCTACTTCATAATCTGCTCCATAGAAAGTCTAAACCCAAGATATTTAGCGTCTTGTACCTCATTAATACGACTGATAAAAATATGAAACAAGTCTTAACCATTGAATGAGTTTTTACCCGCGTCGCTGTTTCACATTAATTCTTAAAGTCCCTGACCGTGTTAATGAAAACGCTGCACGGGGAGTCCCAAAGACAACGTACGTTTGATTCCCGTTGAAGAATAGTTATATTCCCCACAACGTTTAATCACATACAGTAAACAAAGGATACAACTGCCGTAAGCTTGAAATAATGTACCTACTTTTTAGTGCCATAGGCTATCTATTACTCACTTAGTCTAAATATAAATGTATGTTGGTTGTGCCTAGTACTCTTAAAAGCTTTTAAACATTCAACTTAAAAATTATCTCGTGCAGTTTAATATAAAGAATTTTAAACAATCAGTAATGAATACCCCAACATGTTACAACACCTAAATAAAAGACCCTTCCAAGGTTAGAGACGCCATCTTGTAGGGGGTGCAAATACAATAGAATTCAATGGCGACATGTCATGCATGTCGCCATTGAATTTTCTATTGTCTTGGCACCCCCTACAAGATGGCGTCTCTAACCTTGGAAGGTCTATTTCAGCTAGTCCATCTTTCTTAGTTTCGTTATCAACTTCTCGAAATATGTTTTAATTAATTCCCAATTCCGTGTTCCTGGCATAATACAAGTGTGAACTCCTTCTGATATCGTAGCACATATTTTCATCCAACATGGCTACAGGTAAAACGCATCTCCACTTGTAGCCATCCGTCTTCTGGCAGTCTGGCTGCGGACAAACTTTGCGTATGTATTAATTTATTATTATTATTATTATTATTATTATTATTATTATTATTATTATTATTATCATTATTATTATTTAAACTTATTTAACCACGGTTGCCTTTCAGAGGTCTGTTTTTCAAAGGGCCGTGCACACGTATAACTAATATAAAAAATTTAAAAGCTATTTACTACAAAATACTTATATATACACACTATAATTTACATATTGCCTCCCTGCTCAAACACACAAGGCATCGATCAGTTTTTTAAAAGAGCCGATAGACGTTTCAGGTATTTTTGTTATCGGAAATTTCTCCGTTAATTTTTGATTCCAGGAGACAGCTCCTCTATAAGAAAAGCTTCGTTTCATAAAATTTGTCTTGGGTTTCGATAAGTAAAGCTTTTGATGATTGTTTCGTAATTGGTGTTTTTGGTTAACAGAGACATGAAACATTCGCGTTAAATATTCTGGAGCCAAACCCTTAAGTGCTTTGAATGTCATAACTAATTCTCGCTTTTCTAGAATTGATTGTATTTTTGTCCATTTGAGCGTTTGAAAGATTCCAGAGGACCGTTCTTCTAAACTCGAACTGGTAATGACCCGTGCGGCGCGTTTTTGTAGTTTAAACATTTTGTCAGCGTGCAGCTTATTGCCATCATACCATATAGTTGAGCAATCATTGAAATAAGGAAGTACAAATGACTTGAACATCGTCTGTAGTGTTGCTTGAGGTACGTAAGGCTTTACCTTCCGTAACATTGCTATGGAGCAAGAGATCTTTTTTGATTGTTCCTCAACATGTTTTGTCCATTGTAGTTTATCATCTATTTCTACCTAGTACCCTTTTCTTGTAGACTCGTTTGATTGAATGATCCTTTATTTTAATAATAGGGTCATCTTTAATTTGTTTTAGTCGCTTTGCTGAACCAATTATCATGTACTCTGTTTTGGTATCATTTAATGTTAGTTTATTTGCATCCAGCCAAGTCTTAACATTTTGGGTTTCCAGCCCTAATTTATATTCAATTTCGAGACAGGTTTCCCCATTTGCAGTCAAGCTCGTGTCATCAGCAAACATGGCAGTTTCAGTTATTTCTAAGCAATTTGGCAAATCATTTATATAGATTGTAAATAGGAGTGGACCAAGGTTAGATCCTTGTGGGATGCCGCATGGTAGATTTTGAAAGGTTGAAAACGAGTTGTTTATTTTGCATATCTGTGTCCTATTGTTAAGATATGATTGAAACCATGCCAATGTTAATCCACGTATCCCATAACATTCCAGTTTTGACAGTAGAATCTTATGGTTTACCGTGTCGAAAGCCTTTTTGAGGTCCAGGAATAGGACACCATTAAGAAGGCCAGCATCCATATTTGCTGGCCAGTTATTAGTTAGGTGCAGTAACAATGTTTCAGTTGAATGCTTTGCTCGAAAACCAGACTGAAATTTAGATATTATTTGGTGTTGTTCCAGAAACCTCATCAATTGTTCATGTACAACTTTCTCGAATATTTTGGGAATTACAGAAATAACTGAAATCGGCCTATAATTTCCGCACAGATTTTTTTCTTCAGATTTATGAATAGGTGTTACTTTAGCAATTTTCCAGTCATCTGGAAAATTCCAGACAGTAAAGATTGATTAAATATATGCGACAGGGGTTGAATAATTGCACTCCCAGCGGCCTGCAGTAATTTCACAGAAATTTTGTCATAGTTTGATGATTTACCAATTTTCATTTGTTTAATTTCATCTCTGATTTTATCATGGGATATAGTTTGAAATTCAAAGTTTTGTAGTGTAGGTGTTACGAAGGAAAGTGGATCGACATTATTTGTTTCTATATTTTCAACCAAACGTGTGCCTATATGCGAGAAGAAACTATTGAATTCATTAGAAATATTTTCATCTCCCATTATTTTCTCTTCGCCGACTAGTAATTCATTAATTACAGTAGTTTTTGATGCCTTGTTCAACAACTCGCTTATCAACTTCCAATTCTCTTTATGGTCCTTGCATGCATCCAGTTTAGTTTTATAATAATTGCTTTTTGTTTCTTTAATTGTTTTATTTAAATAGTTCCTCATTAAAATAGTAAGTTGAGTTATGCATGACCGCTTTCCTTTTGAGAAAATCCCTGCGGTGACTTAGGCCCGTATTCAAAAAGCTCACTCACACTCACACTCATTGAGTGTGACATATAAATTTTGTTAATGCTGATCAATGAGAAAGTTTTCTCTCAATAGATGAAAAGATATAAGGTAAATCACTGAAAATCAAGCCCCTGTTCGGCTGAAAATACCGCCATTGAAACGTTATGAGAAGATTAAGATCTCCCACTCAATGAGTTTGAGTGTGAGTGAGCTTTTAGAATACAGGCGTAAGATTCTTAATCTCCGCTGTTATCCAGGGATTATACGTGCTTCTGACTTGTCTTTGTCTTAGAGGTGCATCTTTATTAGCTAGAGAGGTAAATATAGTTTTCAAAACGTGCCAAGTCTCATTTGGGTCCTCATAATTGTAAAGGTCACTACCAGCAAGAGCTCGGTCTAAATCACTTTCAAATTTTTGACTGTTGAAATTTTTAAACTGCCTAGTTTCAATAATTTTTGGCTTTTCCCTTTGGTTGCCGATTTTACGGCAAGTGTACACTAGACTATGGTCACTAATTCCAAGGTGTATGACTCCTGAAGTAGTAACATTCGTGTTTCCCACTTGCGTTATGATAACATCTATCAGTGTTCTTGTATTGGCTGTTACGCGTGTAGGTTCCTTCATGAGCTGTTTTAACTGATAAACACCTAATAATTCAATTAGTTTCTTTGCATTAGAAGTATTCGCATGCAAATCACAATTGAAATCATCTAGAATAATCAATTCTTTGTTTTCTGCCTCAGCCTTTTGTAGAAATTCTTCGAACAGATCGAATGCCCCTGTATTGGAGTCAAGAGGTCTATACCAAGTCAAAATTAAAATTGGCTGACTCATACGTAGCTTTAATAATATGTTTAAATATGTTTTAATTGATTCCTAAGTTCAATGCAATACACAGCAAGTGATACTTTATAATGTGCTCCATATATAGAAAGTATAAACTCAAGGTTTTTAGCGTCTTGTACATCATATGATTCATAAAAATATGCTACAACTAACAAGTCTAAACCATTGAATGAGTTTTTACCCGCGTTGCTCTTTTACACTCTTAAGGTCTCTGACCCTATTAATCAAAGCGCTGGTTGGGAAGTCCCAAAAATAAAGACAACGTACGTTTGATTCCTGTCCAAGAACTGTTATATTTTCGTTTGGTCACATACATGCAGTAAAAAAAGGATAGATCGAACTAGCTGGAGTAATGTACCCACTTTTTAGTGCTAAGGCTAATATCTATTACTCACTCTGTGGCTTAGTCTAAGTCTAAATAGTCGCATGCATGTTGTCCCTGGTACTCTTAAAAGCTTGTGAGCATTTAATTTATAATTTATCTGGTGCATTTTGATATAAATTTTAAACAATCAGTAATGAAGAGCCTAACTTGTTACAACACCCAAATAGTCTCCGCTATAGTCCATCTTTCTTACTGATTTCATTATTAACTTCAGGAAATATGTTTTAATTGATTCCTAAAAGTTTTTCTTTCTTGTCTCTAGTATAGTACGAGGTTGACTTCTTTGTGATGTCATAGCACATGTTTTCATCCAGCATGGCCGCTGGCGTAACGCACCTCCACGTGTAGCCATCTGTGTACTTGCCGCGAATAAATCTCGCATAAGTAAACGCTTCGTGGACGTCATTTCCACACCATTCATTTCGCAGAATCTGTACTCGATATTCTGAAATAAGAAAAAGTAACCTATTTATGGAATAATAACAAATATGATATTCATTATATTATTTTTGAAATCAACGGTGTTTCTTGCAATCTGACTGGTTAAAAATGGTGTGAATTATTCCCAAATCGCACTATTTTTCAGCATTAATCACACCTCTACTCTGCCTCTCACCTCTGCATTGCTCTGCACCACAATAACCAATCAGATTTAGTATTTCAGTGTAACTACCCAATCAAATTACAGGGGAAAATGGCACAAAATTTTATTATTTTGAATTTTTAAATGCCCCACAAAATTTCTTGAGAAAAATAGATGAAAATTACTCACATTCTACAAGGTGTACAGTTGTTTTAGTTTTAGCCAATAAATCGTTTTCAATTTGTATAGCCTAATTTTTATAATAATGATTTCAAAATGAATATAATAAAGTGGAAATTGCACTTCCTGTCCTGCATATATATATATATATATATATACACCCATTTATATATATATATATATATATATATATATATATATATATATATATATATATATATATATATATATACACCCATTTGCAAAAACGTTGGCCGCAGATAGATAGATATAGATATAGATACTCGAAGTCTAATTAGAATTGCATATGATTACATTTGCATGGTATTTCTATAATATTACACAACATATGCAATAATTAGATCTCGAGTATCTATCTATATATCTATCTGCGGCCAACGTTTTTGCAAATGGGTGTATATATATAAATATGAAATCATGATCCTGGCAATCGTGTAATTAACCTGACAATAGCATGTGCTTGTTTGGTGTCATAAAAACTTATTTCAATATTTCAAAGTCATCTCACGCTTCGTTGAATCTCGGCTAACCGGGATCTGTAAACAGCCCCAAAATTTTGCATCTATATATTGAGATTGTATGCGAGAGAAGAGTAAGTAATTTAAGTAACTTGACTATTATGGCCTCTGGTAATTTGAATATTATTGGTCAAGCGACCTCGGATATTACGCAATAACCTTATTAAACTGATAAAGCTTTTTTTTTTCGAGGGTAACGTCGGCAAATATTCTTTGTATATTATTACAAAAATACCTGGAATCTCTGCTTCAGATCTATTCCGTATGTTCACATGACCGAACACATGATTTCTTAAATTTCTCCATTGAAAGAGATCTCCGTTAACATTGATCACCCCAGATGCCATTCCTTGTATAACATTTACTGTCAAAAATTTCCTCCAAAGATTCAAACTTGCAAGGCTTCCTTGGAACGCCTCCTTGCTGCTAAAACCTCCCCCATAAGAATCACATTCCTGACCAATAACTACTATACCGTTGGAGGGTATAGTGTAACCTTCCGCTTCGTGTTTCGTTCCTAGCTTAATCCCATCTTCGTAAACCTCGATTAAACCATCACTGTTTCTCCACTGTAGGCAATAGAAATGCCACGACTCGTAGGCAGAGATCGTAGGTCTAAAGCGATAAAAATCAAAGCATGTTGAGGTTACTAGTTTTAGTGTCATAGAACTGTTGCCAAACAGTGCAGGAGGCTAAGTAAAGTCGCCATTTTCTCGTCTTCTTTGACGTTCACGTCCTCATGCTAAATCTGCGTAATAATATTTTGCTGACGTCGGCGTCATATGGAAACCAGGCTTAACTCAGTGGAAAGCTAGGAGAATTGTATTAAAGAATAATTCAACAATGCTGTAAAATAGTATTTCGGATTGAGAGGAACGACTTCACGCCTTCAATTGAAACACACTTGTTGATCTACTATAATTTGAATCATTAGCTGGCAGTGGCGGACCCAAGGTAAGTCAAAATAAATTACTTTAGCCGAATTGTTTGAATTCCAACAACAGATAGTGGTGATATGCTAAACCCGATTGAGCTTCATTAACATCTGACTATCTATTGCTTGAATTGCAGACCAAAATGTGACGTCTAACCTAGACCTAACTTGCAATCATATTGGTAAGATTTTTATGTAAAGTTTCTTTGGAAGTGGATAACTATTGAATTGGAAATTAGGTCATGTAATCTATTCTGACTTACCCGCCTATATCTGCCACTCCTAGCGGGTTCATAATTCAAATTGATGGATGCATGATGATATTATGATAGGTAAAAGATTATTACGTTGTTGCAACTTCATCTAGTATTCGAATATACTCCAAGGGAAGGAAACTTATAGAAACCTATATCTGATATTGTAAACACTCGTTAGACGACAATAGATGCTGCGTCATAAGACCAGATTTAGCGACCACTAACCCGTCGCGTGACCATATATTTTTTATGGTAAGCTCTAACGCCAAGTTTTCATACAAAAAAACTCCAATTTCAGTGTGATATTGCCGACTTGAATACGCGAATATGCTCGAGTAATTCCTTGAAATTTTCGCCCAAAAACACAGAGAAAAGACGGTGATTTTGTCGCGAATGGCGTTTTCTATTTTGACGTAGTTTTCGACCGAAGCTTGAGGGAAATCCATCTGATACACAGATTCTGCTCCTGAAAGAAAAAGATACGATCACAAGGCACACAGTGGCGTCGCTAGAGGCGTTAAGAGGGGCGCGTAGGCATGCAGTAAATATGCCATCCCAGAAGTCCATTGAAGGTATTTTGTTTGAAGTTTTGAGACAATTGGTCATCAAGAATTTTAAAATACGATAATGTTTAGGCTGATCATGTTATTATTGCAATTTTTATTCGCAGAGAGAGAAAACTAAAGTTTATTAAGCAAGCCAAAATTCTATAAAAGATATGACCGGGGACAAATGACTCTAGGCTCATAATAGCTCTGTTTTGTCGAAGCGCCTCATAACGTCATGATCTCAGATTAGCTGAAAATGTCGCAATAATGATGACCAATGTAGTTCAAAAATCAGTACTTCCATGCACGACCATAGCTATAGACTGCTTAATTGGGGGGTGTATATTCACATATTCATGTTCATCATAGGAACAATAGCGTGCAAAAGAAATTATATGAATATACACCCCTTCCATGAAAACTACCACGTTTTTTTCCCGCCTGTGCTATACTTACGAGAGTTGTATAAGTCATTCGGTGTCTCTTGGAATTTAACATCTTCTGCAACCTTTGACTTTATTCCAAACCACGCGAAGACGTTTCCGTTTTCAAACAATGGTCCTTGGTTTGCCATTAACGATAAAACATGTCCATCAATTTCATAATTCCATATATTGAGTCTACTTCGAGAGCTGTTGTGCTTGTATCCATCTAAAATTCAACAACAATGCATGATTAAATAATTTTAATTGTCTATTCATTATAATCTGCTCTAGTGATATTATTGCACAGAATTCTTGGTTGATTGATAAACGTGTTGGGCAGGCTGTGTTTCTACATCTGTTTAGCAAGAAAGAAAAATTATTATAATTTATCATGCATTTTGCTATATATATATATATATATATATATATAGATATATATAGATATCCTCTGCCGAAAATCGTTAAACCAAGTAACCGTGTACGTGTGGAAAATTGCTGGTCATTGAAAACAAAAAATACTACCTACTTAAATGCAAGAACATTTTTTCTCCTGCAGGAATGATCATATTTGAAGCTACACCATGCATGATGGAGACCAATGAACCATCCAGATATATCTTCCAGTGGCCTGATTCACTCGACCACGTGGTACCAATATGATGCCAATATGCTGGAAATTCATTCCAAAAGCTTGGAACCCTTGCTTCTCTAAAAAGTTTTTAAGATTAGTTAGTTTCACCGTACCTTTCTTACTGAATTTTCAGTGATTCAGTGTTAAATAGTGTTAAATAGTGTCATAAAACGCTGAAATCATCCGGCAAATATTTATTAACAGATTTGCTGTATTCACCTGCCTTGTGTGAGCGGAGCTAGGTAGATTTAAATAAAACCTTGCCTTTTTTTATGACCATCTCCATGTATCTCCAAGGTGAGATTTTCTGCGGTGAGATAAAATGAGAGCAAGCAGGTTCCTGAAGCACTGGTGTAATCAACAAATTTCAGGGGTTCTGTGTCCAGTTCCATTGGCGTGTTCTCGAATTTGATCCATGATGTTAAAGTGAAAGCCTCGAATTCTATTTGTGATGGTACGGTATGGAGGTATTGATTGGTTTGTGAAGATGTCGTAACAATGTCATACTTCGGATCTAATTAAAAAAAGCCACATCATGATTTGGTCTCATATTTTTTAAATTGTAATTTGAAAGGGTGAAACAGCTAATTTCAATCGTAATTTCAGCACCAGAAATCCAAACTTACTTTTTCGAAGCGGCTTACACGAACTTGGCTGTTCCTTGACTACTTTATCACTCTGAGTATCCTCAAGAGAATTCCAACTGAAAACATTTCCTGATGGATTACTAGAGCAACTTTGGTTTGGGGTTTTCATTTCGACATCATCAGGAGAAACAGTTAGAAATTCACTCCAGACATTTAATTGACTCAGTTTGCCAGAGAACGAACCCTCGGAAGTCTCGTCTGCCCTTTTCAGTTTCTGACCTATGACGAAGACACCCCCAGCTTTCAATGGTTCCCCCCAACCAAAACCATCTCCAGTGTAGACCAATGTACCGTCAAGAAAAATGGCGTATTCTCCAAGAGACCACGATGCTCCCACATGATGCCAATGGCCGTCATTGATTGGCGGGACAGGAAAATGCCTGAAAGAATATTTATATCAAGTATACGATATTTCTCTGAGATTTTTCTCCGCGAAAAGATTGTTACAGAAAACTGGGTTTTTTTGTGCTCAACACAGGATCAGGAGATGTTCAGACTTAATCATGTTCAAAATAGGTCTTTTTCAAGGCCAGGCTGTACACGTGCGAATCCTTTGTCATGCTTCTGAATATATGAATAGCCATGCCTCAATTAGGTTTCTAGCGACATCTCTTCTAGCGACTGAAGTGTCGGTCTAGAAAAAGGTAGGTCTGTTGCAGTATTTCGGAGGTGATAATAACCTGGATACGAAGGTTCCCGAAGGCGCGGCGCAGTGTATTTTGTACATTAATACTGTCTTGGCTCCTGACCGTCTATTTTGCGTGTCCTACGAAATATTATTAAAGAGATCGGCTGATGAAATATCATAATTTTCCCTCTTACAACTCGCTGCACGAAACTAAAATCTTTGCTGTTTTTCAGTATTTTACCACACAAGTGTCCTACACGGGAGAGTAATAATCAAAGTATATATAGGGAGGCACATGCAAGACTTTTACTGAAATTGATTCTAAGGTATGCCTTGGAACAAAGGGCTTTATACGTTTCATCCCTGTATTCGTCTTATATATCGTCTCAATATGACTATCCCAGTTAAGATTTTCATCTAGTTTAATTCCTAAACACATTTGTGTGGAAGTTCGTAATATGCGTTTCAGTTGTATTAGCCACAACGGGTGCCTCACATATTAAATTATGCATGGATGGGCATGATCCGAATTTAATCTTATAATAAGTTAATTTGCAAATATTTGAAAATGAGATGAAAATATTTGGATATCATCATACATGGCTGGAATAGTTGATTTCAGACTTTCACGCAAATCATTAAAGCCGGTTTTTCACTAGCGATATTCTTCGAGCGAATCGACATTTTACTTTTGTTTCAGAGCTCTCAACTGCAACCATCTGGAACAAATTGCTCAAATACAAAGGAATAAAGTCGCTTCGCGCGAAAAATATCGCTAGTGGAAAACCGGCTTGATACAGTATATACGAAGAAAAGTGGCCCCAGTATAACCCTGAGGCACTCCGCAGGTAATAACTTTATAATTATTATGCAATAGTATAATTATGCAATGTAAATGCGTAATTGCTGTACTCCGCATTGCTGTACTCTAACGTTTAAACATGATTCAAACCATTTTAGTTCTATGCCGAAAATTCCAAATTGCTCATTCATTTTATTTAACGATAGTTAGATGGCTACATAATTTAAGGATTCGTAGGTTTTGATCAAGTAACTAGCTGTGAGCAATTTCAATTGATTTGATTTGATTAACAAAACGAGTAAAAACATATGAACATGATTGTAGTGCACGGAGCAACGTATTATCAGAATATCAGCTTTTAAAAAACGGTTACTCTAGATCCCTTTTATGCTACATTTTTTCCCATCTGCAATAGATAAAAATGCACTTCATACATTTCCAATGATCGAACTTGAAGGATAATCAATTCCCGTTCAACGATGAGTCGAAATTCGTCGACGCTTTTATTCACTCGGTAGAATAAAAGAACCATTTTGTCTGCGTTTAATGTTTTGATCCAGAACTTAACTGTCAAGTGAGGCATCTTTGGGACATCGTTGTGAAGTAAAGTAAACTCTTGAACGCTTCGAAAATCCACATCAAAATCTCCTACCAGAAAATAAAGAGACGATACACATATTATAGACTATATTTTGAGCAGGTATCATCAAAGAGACAAATTGCAATATATATAATAGCAACATCTGTCAATTAGAGAAGACAGTTTGTGTACATGCAGGTTCCATGCCATCTGACCTGGCAAAATATCGTGACAAATTTGCATAAACAATAAAGTTAACAGCCGTTCGTGTTGTAATTGAAGAGGAATTGTTGTAAGAGAAATTACAATATATAGTAGCAACATCTGTCAATTAGATGAAGACAGTTTGTATATATACACATTCAGGTTCCATGCCATCATGGCAAAATATCGTGACAAATTTGCATGAAAAATTAAGTTAACAGCCGTTCTTGTTGCAATTCCCGTAGGAAGGAGACATTTTAGCTAACAAGTAAAAATACAAATAATATTTGCCCTTAACACGTCCAGGCGTCTAGCTCCACGGTTGTTTAGCGAAAATAACGAAACAAGAAGAGCTTTGTTTAACATTCAAATTTGAATGCAGACAATGAATTTTTCTTCCGGTGAGCTAGCTAACATCTACAATTCTAGTTTTTTGTTGGCTATTTTTTGTTTTTTGTCTGAAAACTCAAACTATTTACAAATGTCTAAAAGAGTTTGCTGCATGAAAACCGAAATATTGCATGTTACGTGCGTGCCTTGAGATGTGAGAAATCAGTGTCTGTGTTGCTAAGCAACGTCAACGAATACATAGGTATATATGAAGAAGTTTACACCAGAACCTCCTGCGACTCGTTTTTAGTTCTAGTTCTGCAAACTAAACAATGTGTACCTCTGTCATTGACACAGCTTCCATTATATTCCTGTGAAAACAATACCCGTGTTAATCAAAAATGAACATTATTGGACTAATACAGCCCTACTTTATTATGGTTCTTCATTGGGAAATATAAGCAATAAAGGAGCTCCCTCGAAACCAGTTTTTGTATATAGCTGACGAGGCATAGCATGTTGAAAAAATTTACATGCATATAACTTAGCTATACAAGTGTGGTATAACCACTGTTTAAAATAGACAAAAACAGTTTTCGACGTTTCGACCTAAGTTAGGCCTTCGTCAGGAAAGTTATTAAGACCACCTCTCCTGGCGAAGGCCCTCTGTCGAAACGTCGAGAAGTGTTTTTTGTCTATTTTAGGCAGTCATATCACATTTGCTGCCACAGTGCTTCTTGTTTATATAACATACATGCATATAATATACATATGGAACTAAACTCTGAAATGTCATGCATCTTCCTTAACACATTTATTCTCTCCTGTACCAATGAGGCTTGTTTTACCTTTTGAGGAGTCAAGTAGACGTGATCATAAGAAAAATTCTTTTGCAGCTCTGCAGAAGTGTTATAGATCACATCGTGTAACATTTCGCAAAGACCTGTCTCATCTTGTTCCAATATTTCCCTGTAGTTCACAGATCTACAACATGGCTCTTGTACGCACGATAATAAGCACTGAATTTGGCTTGAAACGTTTGTCTCCTTCAAAATTGAACTGTTCAGTCGGAAGCCTGTTAATTAAGAAATTGGTTTACAACTTAAGGTAATTTTTTTGTTGTGAGGTTTTAATATACGTAATAAGTGCATTGCTCTTAAAAATGGAACTGAACGCAAAGAAAGGACAAGGCGTAATAAAGTTACTTAACAAGATATATAATACGGTACTGTCCAGAAAAAACCTAACACTGCGGTTAGGTTGCGGTTTGGTTGCGGGCGACCGATAGAAACCGCAGACGAGCGCAAAGGAAAATGGGATAAATGCGATAGCGGTTGCCGTTCGCTAGCGAACGGAATGTTATGAACAGCTGAGAACGACAACACAATAATCACATCGAAAACATCTTAAAAGAAATGTCTGTCAGACCGAGTTAGGTTTGACGTAGGTTAACCGCGGTTTTTGTTAGGTGATTTCGTGACAGTCCTGTACAAGTTACAAGTTGTCACAAAAAACGACGTTATTAAATTAACTTTTTGAATTTGAAAAGCCTAAAATTTTTGGCGCTCCAGAGTGTCCCAGAAATATACGTTAAAATCCATTATTGTTTGAACCTCGCGTCATTCGCGCTAAAACAATGAATGCATGATTTCAAAAGCGTTTTTGGACAGGTACCCTGTAAAACGTTAGACGTTATTTGTTATCATTACCTTCAAGAGTGGCATTGAAGCAGAAGTCCAAGCTTTCGCTCTGACGCAGCAATATGAACAGAAATATTCCAAGAACTGGGTTATGGAACCCACAAATTCTGAATCGAGGAATACAAGCCATGCATGCACGCATGTCTTTATATATAGTCAGTCTAGCAATCTTAGAGTCTCTGGGCTGTTATACAGCCGTTGCTTTCAGTCTCCCTGCAGTTAAATGCGTGTGGCAACCGAGAGCATTTGCATACACTTAGTATATACTATTAGTAAATTATTATTATTATTTTCTATTAGTAAAGAGATAGCACAAACAAATTTAGACACCTGCATGAAGCTGTGTCATTTAAGAAAACATTTTACTCAACATATTACTTAGCAACCGCTCATTTCCTAAGAGAGTTACAGGGCGCTTCTATTGGTTAACAGCCCTCGATAAATTCACGCGAAATTTGCGGTATTCATTGATTAGTATAGCTAGAAAAGCTTTAAAAATGTATTTAATATATTCATAAAAACGGTTGGTTGCAAAATATCAATAATTAACTTCAATCGTAGAAATTAAGCATGCAAATGATACCGTCTAGGACACTTATGCACTTTTAGCAACAATCGTAACCTGTGCACTTTGATCATGTCATGTTCTACTGCCTTGAATTGAGTGGCTCATTACAGTTTCTCGAAATTTTTAGATGCACATTTCATATAATAGTAATATAGTTAGAATAGTTAGAATAGTATAATCACAGTTAATATACTTTGCAGGAAACATATCTCGAGCGGAATTCGATTCAGAATTTGCGCGCGCGTCACCATGGCAACAGAGAGTGCGTCGCCATGGCAACAGAGACCGCCAAACTCTCAAAATGACCTCCAAACAGGGTTTAATCGTGTTCACATCGCAAACGAGTTCAGTGACCCCCATTTTAGCGAATCAGCGGTTAGAAGGGTTGTCATTGAAAACATAAATCCATTCAGCAGTATTTAATCGATTACTGATATATTTTGTTATATCGAAACCTAGTCAAAATTTTGTGATTAGTGCTATACCTCTCCCACTGACATAAATTTGAAGACATATATAGAAGTACATATATGAAGTACTACAGGGTGAGTCAAAAAAACCTGACACCTTTCAAATTCAAATTAGCTGCGAACTTATGGCTGGAATATGACAATTCCCATGTACAATCAACAAAATCGTTTTGATAATACTGTTCTTTTGTATTTACAGAGCTTAGAATGCATTTTAACCCCCAATGGGAACAAACTTTATGTTTTAGCTTAATTAATATGATATGCTTCGTATACCTATGCAGGGACCGCGGAGGGGGGGGGGCTAGGGGGCTTTAGCCCCCCCAATAATTTTCTAAATACATGTGATTCCTTTATAGCGATTTTTATATGGTCATAATCATACGAATAAAAACTCCTTAAAGTAAGTTCTATAATCATAATTATGTTTTCACTATCCGTGTCGGTGAACAATGTTTTTAATGAAATGTTTACAAGAAAAATATGAATAGATAAGTATGGAGACCACCCCCGAGAGTTCACTCTTTCGGCTTCGCTAGCCCCCCCAAACCAAAAACTGCTCCGCGGTCCCTGCTATGAAATATTTTAAGCAACTTCTGTCACATTACAGCCTCTATGCGACTAATTTGAATTTCAAAGGTGTCCGTTTTTTTTTACTCACCCTGTATACCTCTGACGTAAGTTTGAAGCCGAAATAAAGTATGTTTCATAGAGTGTATATGTTTCAACCGAGTTCTTTGACAACTAGTTCCAGTCCTTTTCTGCCATTTCAGATCAGCCGAAGCTAAGTTGTTACAATTACTCCAGCTAAAATGAGAGTCTTAATTTGGTCAGGTTTTTTCGCGCAAGACTTACACTCGCACACCGCCAATCTAAATATTTTGGCCAATCAAAATAAAACGTGGTTGCATGTGATGATCTTATCGCCGTTCAGCGGCTCACTTAGAATTATTTAACTTCCTACTTCTTCCTGCTAACTTCAGCGGCTCGTTCGAGTTCCTGCTTCTTTGCACTTAACATCCTTCCGCAGTTAACATCCGCTGCGGATGTGAGAACCGTTTTCTGGCATACGCTACGTGAACAAAAAGTTTAAAGTTAAACGATAGTACGCATATCCTGACTGTATACTCGATAAAGCTAAACGTTGGTATCGCATATTCTGTGTACTCGACTAAACGATCTCAATGTCTATCAAATATTCAATCTTTCAATTGTCACCACTCGAGCATGTATTAGGCCACGATCAACTATACAAGGCCATTAAATAAGTCGTGGTTAACAAAATACGTAGTGCGGCGAATGAACATCCTCTCCTAAATCCGCACTCTGCCTATTTAACCGTAATCCGTACGTAATTCTATCGCGACAGTTGGAAGTGCGACCTTGACTCTTTGATACGCCGGTTATATGCTGAAAATTCATGGAGTTTTTTGAAATCATGAACTATCACCAAAAGTTGATATATAAACGAGAAAGCTATCCCCATCACGTCCATCACATGAGTCAATTATATGGTCAAAATGTAATAAAACGAATGTTTTAAAATCAATTCTCCCAAAAGTTGATATACATGCATGCTTCATAACATTTCTATAGCCAGACACCCAAAAATTTCTTATTCAAACACCACTTCTACATAGTGTTATGCTGCTATCTTGGGAATTTTATTATTGCATGCAAATAATTTATTGATGCACTTCAACAAAAAGCTATGGAAATACAAAGTAGGCTGTAAATAAAAAATGTCATTTTCTGCCTATTCAAAATTCAATGCTCCAGCATGCACGGGAATTCACAATAGCTCCAAAAACCTCAATCTATTAGTTCAATTTAGTTTTTTTAGACGCTCTGTGGTTAACAACACAATATCCTAGCAAGGGTCACAGCGTGATATGCGACACCTCATTAACTTCTGATATATTTTTGTGCACACTAAAGGCCCTATTGAAATCGCTCTGCTTTGTTAAACTCTTGCCGAGTTATGTGTCCTTCGAAGCATACGTAATGATTAATATGCCAATCATCTTAAGTTTTTAACTTCTCATTAACTCGCACAGTGGTAAATACATTCTTCTACCAAACCTGGTCAGAAATGCTGTTACACGATTATCCAGAACAAAAAGACCAGATTCAGTAACATAAATTACATATTTCTACAACTCGTGATATGTCACTGGCCGCTGGATGTACACAATGTAAATTCTTTACCGCGGGAGGCAGCTTGGATGAATTCGAAAACTATAGTTTGCCAGCGTGACTTGTCTTGAATTATCTCTGACTCGACAGTTTTATTAGTCGATATTTTGAGACAAAATTCTAGCTCCTTCGACATAGATATTAATTCTTTAAATGTTATTGTTGTATCCTGTAGCGTTTTGAAACAAAAGAGAAGTTTTGTTCAATACTTTTAGACATTTAGCAACAGTTTACTCGCTGGTATTGTTGTCGTCAGTAGAACTGATGAATCGTTTCGGATTTTACGACTGCATAATGTTCCAAAATAAATGCGTAAACTTAATAGACAATTAAATGGATTAATTACAGCAAGTCATTTGCTAGACCTGTTCGTCGATTCCCCTGCGTATAATGTTACTAATATTGCCACAAATGCCACAGTAAACATTATTCAACAAGTCTGGGCAGGTTTTTTCGGCGATTTGATCGTTCTCCGCTTGTTTGACACACATAATTCGGTTTAATTAGAAGAAGGTCAAGCTTATTTACTCATTACTAAATACCATTTCTAAAATAGTTGCAAACCAGTATGCGAGATAATTTTTTATGTTATATGGCGCGGGCAATTCCCTAACACTAACTTATAATGCATCTGCAGAAAAGTAGGTAAATTACTTTAGGCCAACCAACCGAACATAGTTGCTTGAGTCGCAATTTACCGCTTTTTGAAATGCCTTTTTCATGTGCCGATTATGTAAGCTCATTTGCATTTGATTCAGCACATGAAAAGTTCGACGTCTGAAACCGGCCGATGCACATGTGACTAATTAATTAACCACTTTAATTCTTCGTGAATTGGAATTTGCGTTTTTAACATGGTGATGGTGATAGCGGAGAAGTAAGGCAATAATTGTCATTGCATTCTCTCTATGCGTACCATAGTATAATTATGCATGCAACTGGCGGGTAGACGTAATTTATTAATTAAATTTCATTTCAAGTTCTCCTTATAGAATTAATTATGACGTTCAGCTGCGAATATTCGAGGTGACCGTCTTTATTGGGTAACTTTGGAAACTGTTGCCCACAATATTTGTTTTTCGAAACGAATGGTTGCTGGGTTGATAGATGCCGCTATACGGATTAAACTTGAACCGCCAGACGAATTTTTAGTCGACCTTAATTTACAAGGACAATTTGGGGGGTTTGCGAGACTTAACGTGTTTGTGCAACAAGTGTCGTCTTGGAGTTGGTTAAACTGAGTTTATTATTATGCCTGTTGTTATTGTTGTTTGGTCGTGTCGGTTTGAGAGCAATCAATCAGCGCATAGCATCCCGACTTCGCAGGTTTATGTATGCATGTGCTTTGCTAATATGCAAAAAACTAAGACCGTATCAAGATGCTGTAACTCATTCGTTGTAAGAAAATTGCAGATTTGAACGACTTTTTAAACGGCATTGGATAATAAAAACTTGCACTGTCATTAAACAGCCAAGGTAGCAACACAAGCCAAAATCTGCAACACGCATCACAACCTCACCCTAAGGTTTTATTACCTCCACACATCAAACCGAATTTGTGCGACTGGTGTGGCTACGGACAGATCTTTGCTGCAATTCCATGTTCCTATGCACAAGCTATCACCGCAATTGCACATCGCTTGCACGGCCTTCTGACGTTTTATTGTTTTGCACAACAAGTGGCAAATGGACGTCAATAAAAGAGGGCTAGCTACGGCCGATGTTAATTTACTTAGCCTAGAGATTGGAAATAACGGTTTTTATACAAACCAATTTAATTTTCTTCAAGAGTGCATGATGACAGCCACTGAATTAATCATGTTCTGCTCAGAACTGATCTGACAGTTTCGTATTCCCAGTGCAGTTTGAGACTGTATAGCTGGAACAACAACGCGCGCGACCATGCATTCACACATATTGACCTAATAAATTGTAAAGCTAATAATACTACACCTAGCTCATACGGCTCCCTATAACTTTAAATAATTTACATATTTCAATAACAGAGTATTGAGAAGCTTTATAATACAATATATATATTAACCACTGGTAAACCTTGTTCATTAGCTTTTTAACTTAAATTCGATTCCTGCAGTTTTTGGTGATGTCAAACTGTGAGCATTTACCTAATGTGTTGCTATGGTATGATGTGAACATTATGATATTGTCTAGAGTTGCAAAGAATACTGAAATCTATTGAAAAAAATTCTTTCCGGTAGCCTGTCGAGGTGAGACTGTGCTATTCAGTTTTCACTTTAAAAGATATTAGCGAGTTTAAGATGCATCAGATCTACGACGCGGACGTGACAGGAAATCTGCTATTGGTGTTAGGAAACGAGTATTAATTTGTTTTACATACGGCTTTGACTTCGTTTATGAAAAGGTGTCTGTAATTTTCACTCCTGTTGGGAAACTGTGGATATTAGAGCAGTTTTGTTTCACGTCCGCGTCGCAGATTTGGTGAATCTTAAACTCGCTATTAGCTGCATCACGTCAGGCAGTAGAAAGAAAAAAAAATAACATAAATATTCATTCGAGTAATCACGACAAGAATAGACATCTTGGGTTCTTAATATTCCAGATAAAACAAAAGTGTTTTAGAATTTAAAACGTAATTAGAGTGTAATTTAAAGATATTCAAGATGTTTTTAATGTCTTGTTTTATCTTGTATACCAAGAACGTCAGAATGATAGCTATTTTTGAAATCAGTTTCATTTTGAATACAATTCGAAGAGATTTTAATCTCTTAAATTAAAATATATTATTGTCTTGGTAACAAGCAGAAACGGAATCCCCAAGACCTTCATTCCCGCTGAGGCTATACATGTGTTTTTCTCCTTGCCAAATATTAATTCAAGAGCATTTACCATCTTATCACAATTGCATTTTAAGGCTTGCAGTTTTGACGTTGTGCAGTTTTTGAGCTTGTAATATTCTGGAACAATCAAGCTGATCACAGCTATAACATTAAGCGTGCAAAGCACAAAGGGGACGCAGCAAGGTCGTGCAACTTTTCGCTTGTTAAGTTTTTTTTCAGATATATTACATAACTAATATAAGTATGAGATATTGATATTCTCTGTAATAATTAGATTACTATCATTAGCCATATAAGCTCTTGCATGCTATATATTGCATGCTGTGTACCTTCTTTTGTGCATATTCTCGGTCTCACTATTTGCATTCATTCCAGCGATATTATAAAAAGTCTTCCCTAATAACTCAGTAGGAGTCATATTATGGATGAAACCCCCAATACCGCTCATTGTTAACAAAATTATACCTTTAATGCATTTATCGGTCCACTGGCATTGCCATTATGAAGCTGGAAAATTTCCCATGTAATGCTGTCTGGAAAATAGTTGCGCTCCGCCAAGCACACAATTTCGAAGCGCTTTTAGGTTTTACAGTGAATTCTTTTCAGGTATATTCAAATACAAAACACGGCCGCTTCATAAAAAAGGTAATTATTTTCTTCGATACAAGTCACAAACTTTCACAACAATATACACCAGTCAGTAGCGAATGTGTTCGCCTTATGTGTTCCCAGCTAGGAATTAATTAGCAATACAAAAACTTTGCTCTACTTAAACATTTATCCAAGCCATCGATGGCCAAAACTAGTGTTTAAGGTTTCACAAGCAGTCTCGGGAAATACACAACAACGCAAACTCTTGATGAAGACAAAATATGATAAATTGAACGTTTTTCATCAAATTCGTCAAGGTTTTCCACCATGAGTAAATACAGTAGAAACGTTGACATTGTTAATCAAAATATTGTTTCGGTTTGTTTATTTTAACCCTTTTGCATTATATATAGCTGCATTTCAGCAGCAAAACATCACCAGTTTTAGTGTTTTGTTAGGGCTACGACGTTGATTTATCGCTTCATTGCCATCGTATATGAATTCACCACTTGAACGAGTACACAAAAATAATGAGAATCATTCTCACCATCAAGCACGGACCCCATACAGTGCGCGTTCAAATTCAAATGACTGTTTTAATTTTTTACAATAAAATGCCTGACTCATAGCTAAGCTCAAAATAACACAAAACTATAATCCCTGAGAAGTAATAAACTTTAATTACGCCTTCCCAACGGGAGCTCAGCAAATTAGAGGTAGCACATCGTCATTAAAAGTGCTGAGTTGTGAGAACTTCTCACATTCGGTGTTTGGTGTTTGGTGAGAGAAGAAAATTTTTGAAGTGCCGGTGGTTTGACTGAATATTATTCAAGATGAAACTGTGCTTAGTAAGTATACATGCATTAATAATATTTGTATGTATGTTTAGATTTCATATTTTGTGACTATATACTAAGGTGCTTGACTGTTTATTTCACAATATATATACGTAATGGTATAGCTTAATTTGATTGCTTGTAATACAGGATTCTATATAAGAGTTTCATCCTTTCACGAACACCAGAGATTTTTTCCCGTATGTATATACATGTATAAGATTATATATACATAGAGAAAATTGCACGGTTGCGCGCGGGTATATGGATTTTTGCAGATAATTTTTGCATGCATGAACGAGTTAGCGTAGCGAACGAGTAAGCGCTATAATCTTCAAAGCGAGAAATAAAGTCTATATTTCCAAGCCGTTAATATCCTAGCAGTTATTATATATCAAACGTTATTTCCTGCACGGCCTCTGATTGGTTTGCGCTAAAACAATATTTTCACTTGTAAAATATAATTATATTATCGTATCTTTTACGTGAGTTCAAATACAACATATATTTCTGTGGGAAAAACTCTATAAGACACTCCTGCTTATATAATAAACTAGCTTCTTGTTTTCTGCATGAGAAAGCAATCTTTTCGTTAGCTCATAACACAGGAAAACGTACGTTCGCCGTCTAAGCGTAAATTCTTCCGTTTCTAATATATAGGCCGTCCGCAAACAAACCTCTACAAGCTGGACTGCATTTAAGGCATGCTTCGGCATATGCAGTCAACACACATGCAGTTTTCATAGCTTATGAGGCAGCGTTTATACAATTTTTTTTTAAAGAAGAAATTGTAGTGAAAATGGTTGTTAATTAAATGCATGTTTGACATGCATGTTTAATCATACGGTATTTTTTCATAATTTCATTTCTTTTTGTAGGTTGTTCTCTTGTTGGCGTTATGTTCAACAACATTCGCCCGCAAACGAAATCGTTTACGTGATCTTTTCCTGCGTGAACTGGGAGAAGGTACAGTGCAAATATATATGCATGAGATTATATACTAAAAGGAGCTGTGCTTGTTTTTTTTACCTGGCACCAACGACAACTGATCGACGACAAACTGTTTTCAGAAGTGTCAGCGAATATAAGTGATTTGTCAGGATAATTATTATAGTGAAGATGAAGAATGGCAAACGCTTAAAAATCCTTGGACAACTACATTTCAAAATGCTAAATAACAAACTAACTTATACACATAGAAACAAGTTGTAGCTACATAATCTGATCTTCTCATTCGTGCATGATCGAAATTCATCAAACAAATATTTTAAAGCAATATAAAAGTTACCTTGAAACACGATGATATCTCTCTATATGTCCATTTTCGTAGAAAGAAAACATTCCGACACTTTTGCGCTCAAAATACCCGCATCACATAATTGATCGTCATTTTTTCTTTCAGGTCCTAAACCCACCCGAGGGTAAGTGTATATGGGTTTTACTCAGTAAGAAAGAGGAGTCATTTAGCTTTCTGACAATATTTCACATAACGGCAAGAAATAATCAAATAATTCGATGTGTTAAAAGTTGCTGGTATAGACAGCCACATTCGTTTAGCCGGCATAAACCGCGCATTAAATCTCATAATAAATTCAATCGGCCAATGTTTTATTCATTCTTGCTGTTATGAACTCAAAAAAGGAATGAACTCAGAAATCATTGTTAAGCTAAATAAGTGTTCTCTCTTACAGCATAAGGATTAAATCATAAAGTGCAATATATCCTCCGGAAATTCATTTAGTTTCGGGTTTTTCGAGAAACCCTTTAACTATACATCTCATTGTTCTGTCTCTTTTTAAAGACTTAATGCAATTGAAGCAGAAATTGATAAAGAAATAGAAGGGGGTGAAAAATTGGCAGGTGATATCGCACATGAGGTACGTTATATGCCATTACAAGCAAGGATCGTCTTGCGCAAACCCTTAAACCAAAAACGATTAAAGTGCAGAAATAGGATAGAGACAAAAACGAGCATACTTTTAAGCGAATTGTGCTGCTATCCGAAGTAGTTTGATTTTTGAAATGTTTCAAAAGAATTCGCCTTGCGATTGCCACTGATCGTACCGTCTTTATGCCGCATCCAGGTTTTATCTTTTTTTTCATCGATTTCATCTTTTTTTTTCTTTATGAAACTATTCAAAATTTTGGGATTGTGTTAGTTATATTAAGAGATATTAAGTTATCTCAACCGAGAAATGGATTATATTTGATAACTAGTCCCAGTCCTTACACGCCATTTCAGATCACCTGGATGACATAATTCCTTTATTGAGCTATATTACTTCCTTGAAGAGCTTATAGCTGGGAAGCGATGTCAGGGAAACCTAACGAGATCCTCTGGAATAACTACTCGTGACTTATTAAGCCTTATTAAGGATTCAAAGATGCAGCAGACATACTTACTAGCCCGTATATGTAACTAGTATATACTTAATAAAGAATCTATTCTATAGGAACACGACGATCGGGCTGGAAGAATCGCAATATGTGCTCTGAGTAAGCATTTATCTTATCTCCGACTTATTAAAATCTTTTTAACCATTGATACTTTATTAAAAAGTTGCGTTTGTGATATCCATAGAATTCGTGGAAGATGTTGGGCATACTATTGAAAGAGAATTCGGCGGAGGTCAGTATGATGATGATGCATGCTGATGATTTCGCATTGTATATAGACACCAAATGCTATTACCGACTAAACATTTATAATTATGTGTGGTTTTGTATGTGAGAAGATTAAAACTTCATGGCTGCAAAATACTGTAGTATCGATTCTCCTGTCAATTAAGTAAATAATTTCGTAAGAAGCCAAAATCGTTTCCAAACGCGTGGCTGTAGAAAGCAAGCCTATGGGGCTGTTTACATGAGTGCGGTTACCCGAGATTCAGTCAAGCGTAAAATGAATTTGAGATAGAAAAATAAGTCTTCATGCTATTGTCAAGATGACTACACCACTGCCTGGATAACGAATCTCGTTACATTTTTAATTAAAGACATTCTACTTCTAGATTATAATTCACGGCTGTTTATACTATTAATAAGAAAATACTAATTACAAAGCTTGAGTCTTTCCGATCTATACCTGATTGCATATACTTTGGGGTTACGCATGCATAATGTGGGAAGCCTGGAGGCCAAGAAATATACAATCGTACGTCAATTAGAGCAGCATCTCTTCTTTGCCTAACAGATGGTCCCACCCGTCGTCCATCACGTGATGGAAACGGTCCTACAAGACGTGGTACCAGGGAGCCAGGAAACGGTCCTACAAGACATGGTACCAGGGAGCCAGGAAACGGTCCTACAAGAGATGGTACCAGGGAGCCAGGAAACGGTCCTACAAGAGATGGTACCCGGGAGCCAACAACAGGTGAATGTACAATCTAGAACGCTACAACTTGCATGTTTTTGCTAGAAAAATTTAGCGCTATTGAATTTCTTTCTCAAGTATAATTGGTCGTATTAAACTGGAAAACGTTTGTCTCGTTTTAGAAGGTGTATTCGAAGTAAGACGTGTCTTCAAAAAATTGTCAAAATCCAAGCGTGAACATGGATATTTCCCAACAGGTAAATTATACTCAAACATAATAAAATCTTCCATCGCTTTGTCACCTAACCAGAAGTTAGGAAAAAGCGTTTGTAACTCCTTCTGAGATCTGGATGTTTTCATAACGTTTTCATGACGGTATTTTCAGTCCAATAAGATCTTGTTTTTCAGTGTTTTACCTTAAATCTTTTCATTGATTAAAAAGAGCTTTCTCATTGATCAGTTATAACAAAATTCCTATGTCACACTCAATGAATGCATGTTTTCAGGAGCAAGCTTTTTGTTTGAATACAGGCGTAACTCCTCTAACCAAAATCTGGACTGCGGCTCCACAAACGTCATCTAGTTTTCTTCCTCATGCATGCAAGCTATCCTGCAAAACATTTTTGGAAGAAAATATTACGGTTGAGTGTTTCACCCTGACTGATCGCAATGACCGATTAAGTCCTGTACCGTTATACTCGGCAAAATTTTCTCAGCCTTTGGGCGGTCGAAAGCTGACGTTGCCCGGCGCTAAATTACGAACACGAGAACAATGGGAGAACTAATTGGTGAGACATAACCAACTGACTTCGACCACGTTAAAATAATTTCTTAAGTCGAAATATGCGTTAACTGAAAGGAAACAAGACCTGTACAGTTGAATTCACACGGTCGTTTTAGTCGCGATAAAGGATAACTATTATCTGCGAGTACGTGTGGGCGATTAATACTGGTTCCCTTAGTGTTACAATCTTCCCATGTTTTGTTGTGATCTAACAACTCGATACTTTTGTTTTTTACAGAACGACCACGTCAGGTAAACATTTCTTTATTTGTTTTATATGTCTTATTACCTTCATTCCCTATAATTATATATGAAATAAGAAATTTAGCGTATATATGATTTGTTTAAATTTAGCATATATAAGAAATGTTTAATAAAGTGCTCAATACTATAACATGTTTGTAGAGCGAATTAAAAAAATAAAATTAATATATATTCTGCTTACAGCATCAAGGACCCTTAGAAAGATTCTTCAGTTGCATGAACAGTAAGTACAAACCAATTCATATTTGATATTTTCCAAAGTAATTGTTCTCGTAACAATGAGGATCAATTTCGCAGTTGTTTCGATGAGGAAGATTGTAATTAAGGTTGATATTAAGTACAACCTTAGCTGTCGAATTGAACAATACATTTGCTACAAGAACCATTTTTTTGGAAGTATTTTCAAAATCAACTTCTTGTCTTCAATATGATGTAACTACACAATTACAGCCGGTTACTATTTCAGCCGATTTATATGGCAAGCGGAATATGCCTCGGGTGAGAGGTTACAATCATTATAGCATCACTCACGTTTTAGTAAACGACAATTGTTTCACATCCGGTTCATGAAATGGTTATTGAAAATGCTCTAATCTATAATAAGCTTACTTGTTTTTTAATTTATTTAAAATTTTTTTGGAACTCTTTATTTTAGACACGATCTCTTTGTTTCTTTTCCTTGCTTCCTCTCCTTCATGATTTTTTGTGCATAGCCCATTAATTATTATCATTCCTACTTGTTTCTCTAGAAATCGGTGAATTTGGTGGCGAACATGGCTATGACGGCGAACATGGGAATAATGGCGAACATGAGTATGGGGGCGAACATGGGCATGGCGGCGATGAGGGAGAAAGTGGAGATGACGGCGAAAGTGGAGATGACGGTGAAGAAGAACCTACTGGGATAACTGAAGAAGCCAAGAGGAAGGCAGATGGTGGTCCTCATGGTGATCCTACTCGTGGTCCTAGCCGTGATCCTAGTCGTCGTCCTAGTCGTCGTCCTAGTGGTCGTCCTCATGATGGTTCTACTCGTGGTCCTCATCGTGATCCTAGTCGTGGTCCTCATGATGGTCCTACTCGTGGTCCTCATCGTGATCCTACTCGTGGTCCTCATGGTGGATATAGCGGAGATGATGGAGATGATGGAGATGATGGGGATGATGGAGATGATGGAGGAGAGATGATGGAGATGATGGAGATGGATGATGGAGAGATGGATGATGGAGATGATGGAGATGATGGAGATGATGGAGATGATGGCGATGATGGCGATGATGGAGATGATGGAGATGATGGAGATGATGGAGATGATGGAGATGATGGAGATGATGGAGATGATGGAGAGGGTGGAGATGTTACAAAGAAACGTCACGCCAAAAAGAAGAGATCACATCCTCGCCATTGAAACATTATTTTTTTTAACTAATAGCTGCATTTATATATTCTACATTACATACTCTGCATTTCCAAATTTGGACGATTTTATTTATAAATTGCATTCACTTTGTTAATTGTACTTTTGTGTACACGTAAGATGAGATAGCAAACTTAGTCTAGTTCTCATATCAGCGACCATGCATTTCAAAATACCAAACGCCTTATATATATATATGTGTGTTGAGAATTGGTGGGAATTAAATGGATTCGATCTTCTTGTAGAAGACAATTTCTTTAACTTCTTGGCTGTACAGTTTTGGGACAGTCTAGTATTCGGACAGCTGAGTTTTATTTCTAAATTTTCTTCTTTTAAACAAAAGGAAAAATTTAAAAATATGTTCCGATCATTTTCTGATATGTTGCGAATGTTTTTGCGTTTTGACATGTTTTCTTATTTGCTTTCCTCGAAGTTAGGCATTTTAGCGAAGATAGATCAATATTTTTTTATTTTAAAATTGGGTAGTTTACCGCGAGACAAATTTGTGTAGACACTTCAAAAACTAATTTCTTAGGAGCCCGGTTACAAAATATAACTATTTTTACACGAAAAAGAGTTTAAAAACCCTCTTTTTGTTTAAGCTAAAAAAGTGCGACTTCTTTTGTTATTTACGATGTAGTGAGATTTCGAATCTCCATGCCATTTTTGTGTATCTGTCCGTTATACGGACACAGACGTGCTTTCAAACCAGCAATAATGCAACTCGTAGTTTTTCATTGTTAAGAAGTTTAGGAAGATGCAAAATGATGCAAATATGCTTAAAGCCAATTCTTGATTATATAGTGCAATACGAGTGTATTATAAAGAAGAAATCGATATGGCTGCAGTGCACTCTAGTGCCATAGACCAAATGCCAGAAAAATAACATTAAATTTAACAATTGTTTAAAATAAATTGTTATATTTATTCTACAATAAATTTCAATAGTTAATATCAAAATTCAGCTTACCTGAGCGTCAAATCACGATCATTTGAGGGTACAAATTGCCCGTCCAAGAACTGGACGAATTGTCCGAAAACCGGACATCATATTGACGATGATTTTGATCAATCACAAGAAAAATAACATAGTGTGCGTATTTTCTTTTAACTTAAGTTTCGAAACAAATATGGCAACAAATCTTAACCTCCATATTTTATGCATATTTTATTTATTGAAGGATGCGAAAATCTTGTTTAAATTTAACGCAATATTGAAATTTTTTTTTTTTAAAGATTGTCTCAAATATTTCAGCAAATTATTTGGCGAGGGGCGCAAGCAAATGAGATCTATTTACCAGAGACAAATCTAATGTGTTTATAAGAACAATATGAATTTTAGAATATGATGTTGTTGTCTTTTTTATACACCCCGCATGCATATGCATCCACCATGCCGTTCATGAACACCTGCTCAAAAGTATGCATGCATGTCAACAATTGTTTTTATGTGATGCTTTTCATGCAAGTATTCATAAAATCATATTGACTTTGCATTTGAACTATAGCCAGAGCATAGGTTTCATTTCAGAACGAAACAAACACGGAATAACACAAGATTATAAAACCCAGTTAATGATTTTTAAATTCTTTAAAATGTTAAACAATCATGCATTCACAATGATATCAGACATATAAGTATCATTTTTACGTACATGTTTCTTTTAATATTTTTGTGCGGCTTATGTCAAAGCAAAAAAGCCAAAATCGTGCCTTGTGCACAGTTCATTGTATCGTTGGTAACTCGAACAGACTCGTGGCTTGTATTCCACTGAAGTCCATGCAACCACATTCAAACTCACTGAATGGGAGATCTCAATCTCCTTAAAACTCCATTATTTCCAATTTTCAATGTCAGTATTTTTACTCGAACATTCCCCCAATGATTAAGAAAGGACTATCGGCTATTCGACCGCACATTGAACATAATTTCTATGTCATGCTCGATGAGTCTAATGCCGAGTGAGTTTTTTGAATTTAGGGCCAGTGTCACAGGACTTTTTCCAAGTGTGCTGTAATTGTATTCTAACAGTAGCAAGCTTTCATTTTGCACAGTCGCAACCTACAGAGTACAGGTGCTACATAGTTATTATTATTCGCATTTCAAAAGAAAATCACCATAGGTCCATGCCCTCAAAAGCTGAATACAATGTGTCCAAATCCCTCTACAAAACAATTTTTAGCTCGCCTGCACTTTAGTGCAAGAGAGCTATTGCTATAGTCTTGGCGTCCGCGTCCCCGTCCCCGTCCCCGTCCCCGTCCCCGTCCCCGTCCCCGTCCCCGTCCTCGTCCTCGTCCCCGTCCGCGTCCACACTACATGATAAGTAGAATGTTAAGATGCCACTTTTATTTTCCCATTATTTTCAACTTATCTACTTAAGGAGTCTATTTGTTGCAAAAGAACCATTCACCAGGGGGGAGTGAACATTATACAACAAAATATAATGATAAGGTCAATGTTAAAATGCTATATTTTTTTTCTATACTTTGGCTTTACATCAGAGGAATCATTATCAATATAAGTCATCAATATGCATTGTGACTATTTATTGCCATTTGGTACACATTTATACAATAATAAAGAGAGTTTTGCTCAAAATTATCAAATGATAAGGTGAATGTTAAGCTAATTAGCATAATGATAAGGTCAATGTTAAGATGTTATATTTTTTAAATATTATGGCTTTACATCAGAAGATTCATCATAAATATAGCTCATCGATATGTCTTGTGACTATATGGTGACATTTAGTACACATTTACACAAAAATAATGGGAATTTTGTTCAAAATTATCAAATGATAAGGTGAATGTTAAGCTAATTAGCATAATGATAAGGTCAATGTTAACATGCTATATTTTTTAAATATTATGGCTTTACATCAGAGGAATCATCATAAATATAAGTCATCGATATGCATTGTGACTATTCAGTGCCATTTGGTACACATTTATACAATAAAGAGAGCTTTGCTCAAAATTATCAAACGATAAGGCAAATGTTAAGCTTATTAGCATCATGATAAGGTCAATGTTAGAGTTATCCAGAGTTATCACGCTCATTACGATTTTCATGGCTATTGTGTAGCCCTGTTTTTTTTTAGTTCAAAGTTGTAGCTGAATCATATTTAACGAAACTATTTGTACAACCCTAAGCCAAATGAGAAACTTTCAAATATTTTCACCCGTATGCTACCATTTGTTTGTATTGTACATGTACAATTATAAATTATGAGATTGTGTTGTGACATGCCGTATCAAAATTCAATCGCTTAATATAGAAATCATTCAGGGAGTGAAAATATATAAAACATAGTCCAACGTTAAAGTTTAAAGAATATTGTCAGATAATTCGCAATTACAAGCTTTAGCACATAAGTATTTATAAGTAGAAAGCCGATAGGCTCGGAATGCAAAGGCAAATGGCAACGCATGTGACATATATTTGCATATTATTTATGTAGATACACATGCAAATATATTATTAAAGCACCTATAAGATTTATGTACATACCTTTTCGTTGTTTGATGCATAATCCTTTTTTGTGTAGATATAAAAATCCAATCTTGTTTATTTCATAAAGCTAGGCGCACACACGACAATTTTAGTCGGCCGATTCCTGTCTAGATTGTCTAGATGGATGTTTTTAACTTTTTATCAAAATGTGGCGACTGGCGATCCATACTAAGTAGACTCGCGTACACGCGCGAGGCGCGAGCGCCGCGAGAAGGAAAACATGTCTGGGCAAGGGCTGCCTATATGTCTAAACCAGAATGGACCAACTACCGTAAAATCGTTGTGTGTGCGCCCGGCTTAAAGCTGGGACTTTTGCCTGGTCCGTTAACTTACCTGTTGATATCACGTGCGCGGATTGCGAGAAACGGAAGAAATATTGGTCACAAATAAAACTAATGTATTCCGAGGCCAGTTTTGGCCAGTAATTCTGAGGTCACAACTAATATCTGAAGTTTGTGCCTAATATTACCTTCCAACGCGGATTTTAGCCTTGTAATTTGTAATAAAAAGATCGGTAATTTGTGCTTCATACAGATACCTTTCATACAGAGTTTAGCCTTATTCTAGACAAACAGTGCAGGCGAGCGTAAGGTGATTTCAGCACCTCTCTGGTTGAGTTTAATACTGGGTTCGGATCAACCATATTCTATTTTGTGCTATTCTCACACTGCACTGCCGGGGTTACGATCTACTCGCGGCGATACTACCATTTGCGTTCAAGTGTTGAGTGCGAGAAATTTTTCACGATGTTTCCGTTCTGAAACGTTACGTTTCCTTGTGAATTACTTCACGTTTTCGGCGCGAAATGTACAACTTTGTAGGAAATACGTCAACGTTTGCCACACGTCAATTTCGACAAGCCTTCGTTGCTCAAACAACTGCGCACGTTTTGTTAACACTTTTTGTGGGTAGCCACTGCGCATGCGTGGCTAACCACTATGTAGTTGAAAAAGTGTCTGTGGGTATACGTACGTCTGTCGTTAATCTTCGGCTTTCGTCGGATAAACGAAAGGTGACGAACATACTGTTCGTGCGTTTGTCAATACTTTCGGAAAATTTTGTGAATGTTTAGTCCGAATTTTATTCGAAGGGCTGCTTTGAGTTTTGACAAATTTCTATATAATTAAAAGTCAAGGTAAAGTCAACGTTGTGGTTGAGCAATTTTGATCACAATCGGATTATATGAGCGTGCAAATCTTTAATACTGCGTGGCTTATTTGCAAGTTTCACTGACAATATCTTATCACTGTGGTAATCAGTCCGACAGTCAACATTGAATGCCATCATTCATCATTGATATAAACGTGTATTACTGAGTAGTAGGAACCAAGAAGGTATGTCCCAGGATCTGTATTTTTCTCCACATCATTTGAAAGTCTCAGTAATAATGGCAAATAAACATTGTTATAGTATATAATTTGAACATACCATAAGCACAATTCACTGTTCTTTTGACTCTTAATTGGTTCTTGAG